CTGCCGCTAGTTGGTTCCTCCAGCACTTGCACCAGGAAATTGTCCCCTACACTTTCCAAAAACTTCCTGGATTGTCTGTGCAGATTAGTAATAACCCTGTGGAACTTTTAAATGCTGGAATAAAGCCGTATAACATGCCATGGGCATTCATTGCTATGGACCCTCGCTGTCTAAGGGTGCTGTTGTTGACATAAATTAGGTTGGTTTGTAACTCTCTTACAGCTGTTTCCTTCTATCAGCAGACTCAGGCTGGGAAATGTGTGTTGGTTATATTTGGTTGATTTTCTTCACAACAGTAAGGGCTCAAATCTTACTCCTGTATAAAAGAAAAGCTTTGATTCTACAGAATCTACATCTGTCATGAGACCCAGATAAATAGTCGAGAGGGCCAGATCTGGCTTTGGGCTCATGTTTGACTGCTCAGTGCTAAACAGAAGCTAGCTTTTAGCTCCTACAGAGAATGCTTGATTTAAACCCTGTTCTCCGTGCTAGCTGCTTCTTTCTTACATTGCTCAGATTACATGTATTTTCCTTTTAATACCAGACAAGTTATAGGGCTTCAAAAAGCATCACCATCCCATTGGAGTCAGTGCTTATGTTCTGAACTGCACCAGAGTGAGTTATCCTACCTAACTGTGTTTATACTAGGGGGGCCTATTCTCCCCTTTATGTGACTGTATATAACACTCATTCCTGTTAATGGTGTTGTAAGCAGGCAGGCAGGGAGAGCATTCTGCTCTCCCTGAGACAGAAGATGTTAATAAGCCCTGATTTACAGAAAAAAATATTAAATCATGAATGGAAGGCCCACCTGTAGTATCCTTGCAATCTACCAGTAAATTACAGCACATTAATGGATTCCTGCTGTGCAGCACTAGCACGTTTTTTGCTATTATGGGTTGCCCCATCCAATTACACACCTTTGTGCTTGTCATGTCCTTTGTGCTATGAACTAAACAAGTTGTTTTTCCAAAGCACCAAGCACAGCAATAATGTGGATTCTGCTTTCTCCAATCACAGACTGTATATTACCCAACAGACACAACACCAGTGGGTTAATGCCCTGAAGCCTTGCACTCATGATCACCAGCCCACCATTCAGTTCTGATCACAGCCTAACATGGATGCAGGTGGGAAGACATGGTCTCAGCTCATGCAGCTTCTCAAGGGACCCAAGGCTCTGATTCTGTTAGTATTTGGGAAATGAAATGGATAACTAAACAGTCACCTCTTTCCAATGATAATTTATTTTCTTCCTGCCAGTTTAGATTTCTGTTGACTGTGAACTCTCTTGTGGACAGGGGAAGGGTTGCCACCAATATATTTAAATTATATTATAATGGATAGGCTTCTGCAGTGTACACAGAATTAGACCTGAAAGGCTCATCTGTGCTGGAATTCAGTTTCCATCCTCAAAAGGCATCAGCGCATTTTCCTGTGACCTCCTGTGGGTCATCCATGGTGCAACTGCAACAGCCCATCAGACCTTTCACAGATGAAAAAGTTACAGGCAGTAAATATTCTGGAGCATCTGTAGGCACCCTATTGCTGCTGGGCACTGGAAGCCTGCTCCTGAAGAGATCCCCATGCACCTTTAACCGCTGTTGCCATCAATGGGAATTGAGGGCGCTCAGCACATCTTTAGGAGGTAGTCAACACCAAAACTGTTCAAAGCCTTGCCACAGTCACAGCTTGGGACAGGATCTGGTGTGAAGTCTCCAGAGTCCTGTTGGACTCCTCATTAAGCCCAGATGACCAGGTAGCATCAGTATCTAAAAACATCTTCTTTCACCTCCAGTTCTCGGAAACTTCCTTCCTTCCTCATGGACAAGGACCTGGCTTCAGTGATCTATGCATTTGGTCACCTCCAGGCTGGACTACTGTAATTTGCGGTCTCTGAAGCTGAATGTGCAGATGATGCATGGGCCCCAGCTGGTACAGAACGTGGCTGCCCGCCTTCTCCATGGCTCAGGTCACCACAAGAACATCAGGCTTAAGTCCCTCCACTGGCTCCCTGTCAGCTCTCAATGCCAGTTTAAGGCCTTGGTCCTAATCGCCAAAGCAATTAATGGCTCAAGCCCCAGCAACATCAAAGACCAAATTTCAGTCTCTGAACCACACTCACAGCTGTGCTTCTCTGGGACAAAGCAGAGCCCAAAGAACGTGAGAGCTGTAGCAAAGCATTCTCTGTTGAGGGGATCTGGCTGTGGAACAATCTTATAAAAGAGATCAGGCCAGTCCAGACTCTGACCAACTTTAGGAAATGCTGCAAAACCTTCCTCTTTAAAAAGTCCTTTCTGCCATGAGAATGACACTCACAAAACCTACACCCCCTTCTACTCCAAAACGTCTACCAACCCACCAACTTTAGTGGGAAAAACACATGCTTCCAGATAAGCATCTGCTCATGTGCTTTGCTGAACCAGGGTATATCACAATCCCATCATTACTCTGTCTCATTCTAAAATCTATAGTACAACAGCCCTGAAATAACCCTTTTATAGCCGAAGAATTTGATGGCCATCTTTATGCAGTGAGGAGAAAAGCAATGTCCTGTTGGGAGCTGTTCGCACCATACCTCTCTTCCACTCAGATCCTCAAACCTTTTCAGACAAAGAAAAGACAAGCCAATTTCACACCATTTTGCCTCCTGCCAACAACCGATTTTATCTCTGGCTGCTTTGACACTTTGCTTGTGCTAAGCCACACCTGTTTTGTGCCTCTCTCCGCTCTGGATGTTCGCATGAGCTATTTCCTGCCCCAACCTCAAGTCTGCTGCTTTCAGCACCATCACTCAGGTTCTTCAGACTTCCTGTTTTGTTCTTAAAGCTTTCATTTCACCAACATACCGTTTCCTGTTCTAAAGCTTCCTGCGACTGAAATCCCACAATTTGTCCTCAACAAGATACGGCTGGTAAAGTCTCAACGATCTTCCTCTTTCTAATGTTTATCTTGCTGATTGTACCCTTTCTGGATTGGTGATCTGGATTTTTGTGCAAATCCCTGGGGGGGCGGGGGGTTCAATGAGATCCTTAAATATTACAGATTCTTTCTAGACAACAAGGGGTTAAAATAGCTCGGTTACAGATAGCTTTTTGGTTACATTCAGAGAAGATATTGTGCTTTCTGTAATAAGTTAGAGAGGAGATGGTGGTCCCTCTATTAGCTTGATTTTCAATCATTTCCCTTAAGGGGTTGCTTAGGTCCTATTATAGATGTATTAACGAGTTCAAAATAGCAGGTGTATATGGTCTGGTCTCAAGGCTGCCCTCAGGTGTGTCTTTGTAGGTGAATATCATTAGCGAGGCCTGAAATGGAGAGGATTGAAAAGCCGTTGAGAATGGGGAGGCAAAGGAAACCTAGCTAGAAGATTGCATTCAAAGAGATGCCACAGCAGCAGAATGATTGTAAAGATAAATCTCTTTCTTGCAGTCTGTGGAAATAAGCAGTTGAGCTGAAAGGTTAATCACAGTCTAAGTAAGATGTACATGAAGGGTTTAATTTATTTGATTTAGCTGCACAATCCCTATTTATATTAAGAAATTGCTGACATCTCATGGGAAACTTTAAAAATCATTATTTTAAAATCAATGCTGTTCCTTCAAAATAGTTTTGTTTTTACGCTTTTTCTTTTCTGGTTCTTAATTATTAACACATTTGTATCAAACACAATCTTTGCTTTTTGGGTTCCTTGCAATTTATTCCCCACGTGAAATTGATAGATTCTGTTTACAAAGTCACAGTCGGCTGTTGCTGAAATGATGATAAAGTCACTAACTGGCATCCCCTCCCTTTTATTGTCAAACACTATTTATATTAGAAATACAGAACCAGGAACCTGTGGTTAGAGAGTACAGCTGCTCAGGAATTTTCCAACAAAATATATTTTCGATAGAAAATGCAGTTTACCCATAAGTGCAATTTTCCATGAGACAATTTCAATTTTTTTCTGAAAATTTTCAATGTTCCATCAGTGAAAGCTAAACAAAATATTTCCTTTCAAGTTGGGGCAATGCACATCAAAACATTCCAGTTTGTCAACCTGAATCAAAATGTTTGTTTCTGAATCAGTTTGATGTTAATCTGTGTCTGCCTGTGCTACTGCCATGCCTCTGTAGTCGGGTACCTCATGCACCCATCTTCCTCTGTGGGCTGGGCTAGGGTGATCAGATAGCCAGTGTGAAAAATCAGGACAGGGGCTGGGGGGTAATAGACACCTATAAAACAAAAAGCTCCGAATATCAGGACTGTCCCTACTCCCTATAAAATCGGGACAGCTAGTCACCCTAGGCTGGGCTAGCTGTCTGGACTACATCTGCCAGGATTTTCAACCAGCTCAATATCCTCAGTTAATACTAGGCATTCAAGTTCAAGGGATAATGATCCTGACATCCTTTGTAAAATACTTTGAGATCTACTGATGAAAAAAGCTATATAAGAGTTAGGTATTTTTATTTTGAGACTTGATCACACATCATGTTCCACATTTAGGCCTTTGTGTACTGAGAAGTATGTTCAGGTGCATAATCAACAGTAGCAGATGAAAAATTCAAATTTCTCTCTTTCAGCTAGACTGGTACAACTGAGGAAGTCAAAGGGGCATATAGCAATATAATTGGGAGGAGAATTTAACCCCCTTCCTCCTGTTTTCCTAATAACAAAGATCGAAGGAGGAGAAATACAGAAACAGGGAGGAATACCCATGATTCCATAGTTAAAGCTTCTACTTTTACTTGATTTTCTACTCCCTTGTTTTTACCCTTTCAAATTTCTGACTGGAGCAGCTGATTTGTTTGCACATTGGAATACTTAAAATAGTGTTGGAGAAGAGATTTCTCAGCGAGTTTGGAAAGTGCCCGGTTACAAGTGTTTATTTGCTAATCAATCAAAAATTGCGTGCATGTTAAACTCTCCTACCAGTGTCTCATGATTTTCATCCCACCCATACTCAGTGGCAGCCATTTTTCAGAGTCCCAGTGTCCCACACAGGCTGAGTGCCTCACAGTTTCTGCAAAGGGCATTTACTGTGTAAGAATCCCCCCAGGGGAGAGGGTCCTTCTGAACCCTTCCTCCAGTGGATTGGAGCCATACAATGCTGGGAAGGAGACTAAAGAAGCCCATTTCACTCTCTTGGCAAGTGCCCTGCCTGCTCTCTATGATTTTGGAAGACCTGAGATGTCCCCCAGGCTCAGATCATGAGGGAGAGGAATCCACTAATCCAGGGGTGGTGGTGATGGTGGTGGGGGGAACTGGAGGAGAGGAGCTGTGGTGGTGGCTGAGACTCTGTCCCCTCCTGCTCCTGCCAGCCAATCCCCTTCACCCAAACACTGACCCAGTGGAGCCTGTAGAGGGTGCCGAGGGGGAGAGCAGCCAGCAGATAAGGGAAGGAGAAGCAGCCAGTGGCCCAGCAGCAGCAGGAGTTGCTGAGCAAGAAGCACTGCCCGGCTTGTATGCAAGGGGTCTGGAAGGGTTATGGGCGGGGGACGCGAACTGAGGGGAGGAGGGTTGAGAGGGCACTGGGGAGTGCTAGACTGCAGGGAGGGATAGCATTAATGGGGCAGAGCATTAGCACAGGTGAGAATACGGCCTGTGGGGGAGACTGCTGTGGCTGGGGGAATGGAGGAGTATTTAACTGTGGGCACCTGCTCTGGGACTTCAAAATCGCCACATAATGTCAACTGGATGCAGCTCTTTCGGAGGCATTTTGCTAAGCCAGCATAGGGTAGCTCTGGATGGAGCCAATGTAGATAGACCTAGGTGGGAGTGTTGGCTTTATTCCCCCACCCCTAAGGGCCTTGGAGGCCCAATCAGTCCTCAGGAGCCTAGTTAGGCCCACTGAGGTAAAGCAGTCAGGTGGACAGCACAGGGGAGGGGCCCAGAAGCCTGTAAAGGCTGGAGTAAGAGGAAAGCAGGGCCCTTCAGCTGTCCAAGTAGCCCCAATGCCCAGTATGTGTTCCCTGCACCCCTCTGTGCCTAATCAATGCCCAGCCTGGAGACTCACTTTTTAGCTCAAGCTGTAGAATCTCATGGTCTTAGCTCTGGTGGTCGCAGGGTCACTTCCTGGTAATGTCCAAGATGACCAAGTCCTCACATTGCCCCATTGCTCCTAAGTCCCCTAGTATCTAGGACAATCCAGAGGCATGCTACCAGTCTACATTTCCCCCTGTACTCGGCCTCTGCGCACCCTCAGTACTCTTCTTCTTTCATTATGCTGCCATACTCTTTCCTAAGCATTTATTTACTGCTTAAAAACATGTCCAGAGTATGCATGTGTGCAGATTCACAGTGCGTTAAGGTTGGGTTTGGGAATTCTACAGTTAACATTAGCTGGTGATGTCCACAGTTGTTAATGTTTAAATGATGTGTGTAATAGTAAAACTTCTTTATTACACCATTCATAAAAACTAATATTTTGTATCATGGTCACATCTAAGAGTCCCAATCATGAACCAGGCTCTCTACAAAACAGACCAAATATTTTTGACTAAATATATATATATTTTTAAATCAACATTTGGGCTTTTATTAAATTTTGGAAAATAATTTTTTACCAAGTCACTTTAATTTAAAAAACAAACGAAACAAGTAAACAACCCTATCTTTTGGAAGGAAACTTTACATGGAAAAAAAAGTAGCCTGCTGGTTGTTCTGGGTCTTAGCATTTTGATTTTTCAGGGTTCCCTCCCCCAATACTGCTCGTTTTGATTGGTGAGCTTAGTCACATAGTGGGAATTTTCAAAATCAAAAAGTTTGTACCCTAAGTCCCCAAGCCTCTTGGTACTATGCCTGGGTTGGTGCAATTTATGCATCATCCCTTGCTTAGGGCTGTGTTTAAGGACACTTTCTAGTCCTATATGACTATATACACACTGGGGCTTGATTGTCGTCACTGTTATGCAAGTTTTAAACTGGTGTAACTCCATTGACTTTGATGGATTTAATCCTGATTTATACCAGCATGAGGGAAGACATGCTCACAGTTGAAGCAGTTTGATATTCCTGGGAATTGAAATTCCTATATTAATGTGAGATAGTCATTACAATGTTGTGTTAGTGAATCTGTTACTCCTTGCTCTGTATTTGAAATATATTGAGAACTGGGAAATATTTAAGATTCTTCTAAAATACGAGACCTGACTCTCCAGTGCTTTGAATTTTTTGGAGTTATTTACACCAGGTCACAGTGAGTATGAAACATTAAGGGTTGCACTACACTGAAAATGTACATCAGCATCACTACAGCTCTCAGGCGTGTGATAAACCCCTGAGACTTGTAGCTATGCCAACCTAACCCCTGCTGCAGATAGTGCTAGATCAGGGAGGTGGATTAACTACAGTGATGGAAGAACCCCTCCCATCGCTGGAGTGCATGTCTACACTGAACTGCTACACCGCTGCAGCTGTGCCATTTAAGTGTAGCCATAGCCTAACACTCTGATCTGGATGTCTCTCAAAAAGACAATCAGAAGTTATGGGCTTGATGCAGGAATCACTGGGTGAAGCTATTTGTGTCTGTGTTGTGCAGGAGGTCTGACTACATGATCACAATTGTCCCTGCTGGCTCTAAAAAATCTATGACAACCTACTTTGCACTCACTTTGAACACAAGGTACAAGGCATTGAAGATTTAGAGCCATAGAATCACAGTGTCTGTGTAATAATGCATATTTATCAAAGTGCATCAAACAGACAGGGCACTTCTCTATTTCCATACCCTGGGAGTGGAGGGCCAAGGGGACCATCACCCAGGTTCCGATGACAGACAAGTGTAAGGGGAAAGAGCACAATAATTGTTGCTTGCTGTCTCTTGCACAGCTTGCCATGGCCTCTCCCTGGATCTTACTGGAGAAGGATGTGTTTAACCCCCAGAATGAGAGACTGCTGGAAATTGTCCATGTCTGGAAAACGGGAAAGAAGAGGAAGAACTCCATCCTCTGTGTAGCTGGTGAGTGCCCTGGTAGCACAGGGAGGATAGTTGGTTAGTGCCCTGGTGGCACAGAGAAAATGGCACAGAAAAGGCTGCTGTGATATGGTAAGGTATTTTGGAAGCACTGTTGATTTCATCTCTGGTGGGTAATTTCTTGGCTTTGGAGAAGGTACTTGTCTTTTTTATATGATACTTTTAATATTAAAATCAAAAGTTTCTGGACCTTAGGGTGGGAACTTGTGTTTATCACAAGATTTCACATCATAGCATGTTGAGAGCTAGAAACAAAGGAGGCAGGGGTTTGCTTTGGCTGCATAAAGATCTCCAACAGCCTATAGAAAGGCTAATAATTTACAGGGCTACTCCCTACATTAGTAATTATTATTCCCATTAATGTCTCATTGTGATTCTTTGGGGTTCAACCCAGACCAGTCAGGGGTTGTGTCATCACCTGTCTTGCAACCCTGGAAGCCTTAAATGCTGGGCTACTGTGGCCCACTGCCCTGACTATGCCTGCCAACATACAAGCATGCAGGCCACACCCTGGCTTCCACTGCCCCGTTACTCTTTGCAGGGTGACCCCAACACCCTCCCAGTCCCAAACTATCTGCCAATATGACAGTCAGCTGAGGTTCCCAGAATTGTGAGTTATTGTGTTACCCCTCTCAGCCTCAACGAATGAGAATTTTGCTACTGTTAAGATGTGTGACAACTCCCTGACACACCAGCTCGTCTGCCATGCAAGCCAACTTTTCAGAATTCTGCCAGACCAAATCTTGCCTACCAGGTAACAAACAGTGAATCCCAACTCCCGAGTTCCCCAGAGACATCTCCCTGCAGCAGCCAAGCCCTCTCCTGGAATACTCTCAAAAGTTAAGTTAATTGCTCCTTTAAAGAGACAACAGCAGCTTATTAATTTAAATGGGGTTTGACAAACTCTTAGTTCAATCACCACACTGAACTTGTTTATAGTAAAAGACAGACAAGTTTATTAAACAACATCACAGGTTTAAGTGATACCAAGTATAAGGAGTAAAGACAGAAATGTGACAAACAAAAGTAAGGATACTCTAATACTTAATTTCAACAAGTTACAATCTTTGCATAAGCAGGTTCTCACCTATATTCAATTCCCAGAGACTTCAACCCTCTTGGCTGATGGACCCAACATTCTGAGATTTCAAGAGCGCTGGCCCATTGATGGATACCCAGTGATGGATACCAAAACAACTTTGTGTTTTGGCTTCCATTATTTGGATTCCATAATGCTTAATTTACATTCGAGATGGATAGATCATGGCCTTCCTGTAAGGGAAAAAAACTGTTTCTGCCCGTGCTTGGTCAGTCTTTAAAGTATAATATCAGGGAGTATCCATAATTCCTCATGTAGTATTAATACAGATATTTCACAGTGATACTGATCACCAGTGTGCCACAAGCTTACATAAAAGACCTTACCCAATACCCATTTATAATGCAGTAACATTGTATATATTCGGTTGCTTATCATTTGAGGTTCAGACCCTCTCTCCCCCCACTCATCAGGTTGCTGGCTTTATTTGCCTTTTATGTAAATATACCTTCATTGTCTCTGCCAGATGACCAGGAAGATCAGACGAGCAAATACACATTCCTATATCTAGGGTAGACTGGGCTTATGCATTGCTTGCCAAACACATAATTCTTGCTAGGGTGACCAGATGTCCTGATTTTATAGGGACAGTCCCGATATTTGGGGCTTTGTCTTATATAGCCGTCTTTTACCCCCAACCCCCGTCCCGATTTTTCACACTTGGTGTCTGGTCACCCTAATTCTTGCACATATTTAACTCTTTGTATACACCCTGTACATAAATAACGCAGTATTAATGATCAGTGAGTTAGTAGTTTTCCAATGGTATATTACATGCCACCTTTTTGGTAAAGATCATGACAACATGAAACCTGATTTAATGAACTGTCTGGAGCAAACAACTTATAACAGGTGCAGTATCGAAGAACAACATAATTCTGTCTCTCTATTACTCTACAGAGAGTTTCATCAGCATCTAATTGATTTAGGAGCGTAAGATTGAGTTTCCATAAGATTTGGTCTCCTGGGTGACTCAATCCCATTTTAGGCTGGTCAGAAAACAAGAATTCCATTTTGTGAAAAACAGGCATAGAACACCATACCTTTCGAAAAATCGGTGTGAAGAGACCCCACTCTCACACATCCTCCAGAATAGCCAGTAGCCCAGTGGCTAGGGGACTGATGTGGGAGACACAAGTTCAAGTCCCCGATATGGAGCAGGGACTTGAATCTGGGTTTCATACATCTGAGGAGAGTGCCCTAACTACCAGTCTAGGGAGTCTCCATGGCCTAATGAATATTTAATTATTTATACAAAAATTGACCAGCACCAACAGAAGATGTTGAAAGAATCTAACTAATTCAACAGCCTGATGGTTAGTCACTCACCTAGAATGGGGGAAACCTAGGTTCCGAATCAGGAAATTCATTGATGTAGTTCTAAGAGAGCAAATCCCATATGGTAGCATTCACTGAAAAGCAGTGTCAATGCAGTGTTTGTAACCCTACATATCAACCAGTCAGATACGTACTTGTACACTTTGAATATGTGTCTCAGGCCAGCAGTAACGTCAGTTTTTTCTGCCTCCTCCCATCCAGTGGCTGCTTGGAGGCCAATGCAGTTGTTCCTAGAGAAGGTAAAGAAGGCAGATCGAGGTGATCAGTACAAGATGACTGACAGGTGGCCCTTAAAGGATCTGAAGCTGGTAGATGGGAAGAATGTCAATCAGGTACTGTTAACCTCTGCTTCCAATCAGGGTAAAGGGCTTGAGAGAATACATGATGAACGGAGAGAGGAATGGATGGGCAGAGGATGTGAAGCCAGAGGTACTTAGCCCTGGTCTTAGTTTTCAGTAAGAAGAATGCATGTTTGTGTAGGCAGGGGATGGGGATGAGAGAATGGACCCAAATTGCTTTTAATCCACAATGAAACAAGGTGGAACAAACCTTGAGCTCAATAAAATCGTGTGAGAAGAAAATCACTGCAGGAAACATGCCAGTCTTTTCCTTTCCTTGGGCAGGTTTTGCCCTGGGTCTGCCCATTCCCGGACAATGCACCAATCCTACCGGAGTGCTTTGGACTTTTCTTTTCTCATGCCTCTTTTGGATGGGGGTAGGGCTGTTAAGGAGGTGGGGGAGGGGTAGCAAGCAGGGAAATGCTCCTCCTTCCTTGACACAAAGAAGTAGTGGGACGAGAGTAGCACTGGCAGGTTGAATGGAACTCAGAGCAGGTTGAGCAATGAGAGAATGTTGCATTGGCAGAGCCTGGTCCAGCTCCCACTGGAGCCAACAGAAGCATCCACTGATTTAAATGGGAGTTGAATCAGGTTCTGTCAGTGCAACAGTCACTCATTATAGTCATACATAGCCTGCACCCTCCTGACAAATGAGAGCCTCCAGGCGCTTTTTCTAGCGGTCCTCATACAGACTTTGGAGATGGACTTTGTCCTCAACTCTGTAAAGCTCTCCATTTGAGAGATCACCCACTGTTTGCAGAACCCATTGCAAGACCGGTTTGCCCACATTGATACTTAATACTTAAGCAGAGGGTATTTATTGAAAGGATGTTTCTTGGAAAGTGGGGGTGCTGGGTTGCTGTCAGTTTGTGCTTCAACGGTGACATTATGGCAGTTGGCAGAGAACTCTTGGAAAGAAGTATTTTATTTCTGCCGCCTGTTGCTGGCAGCACGTTAAATTTGTTATCATTAGTTTTTTATTAATGGGACTGTGCCAGGGGCCTTGGCAATGAGCCCATGTTTGTACAAACATAGAAATAAATGAAAGGAAGTCATCTAAATAGTTTTCCATTCTGTCTCAAAGACGTGCCTGTAGGCACCAAAAAAGGTGAGAAACAGCCTGCTCATTAGGACTTACTTAGAAAATAATACTTCCAACTTTGCAGGGAGGTTTTGATCAAAGGTTGCAAGCTGAACTGATATTTCATTTTGTTATGTTTCGCCGTGCACAGACAGCACACAGATACTTTCCACCAGCCTGATCTTTAATTTAGATGACAGCCCGGATTCTACTCCCCATTAAATCAGTGGGAGTCTTTCCAGGCCCAGTCAGGTCTTAAGAGAACAACAAAACAAGAATGAACAAAAGTAGATGCTCCACAAGCACATAGTGTTTCTCCTTTGTAACAGTCTGTGCTGACCTGGACAAAAAAGTGGCTGCCTATCTTGGCAGACAGCCCGGTGTTTGGAGATTTAAGAGGGACAATACACAGAAAACAAAGGCATAATAGTTACATACCAGTAGCAAAATAGACCATGCTTTTCTGTGATGACAATCTTAAAGAAAGAATCAAAATAGAAATTTAAAACATTTCGCGCCATAGCAGCAGGCGTTGTGGCAAATGGGCAACAAACTGAGCACTACATGTTGCATCCCAGAAACGTAGACATTGCCTATCATTTGAATTTATTATGCAGGGTGTAATAATCTCACGAGAAGTCTGCACTGGTATGCTGGGATATATCTGCATCATGATGTTACCTTGGCTAGAGACAAACTTTCATCCTTATGAATGCAACACCACCACACTGACATCACTGTACAAAGTCACACCACCACCAGGCTGCAATTCCCATAGGTGCGCCCCCTCTTGGCTGGGTGATATAGTGGGCTCTCCTCACCTCACACCCTATGCCAACAGCTGCTTCAGCCCTGCTGATCTGCCTCTTCTCATTATTCAGCCCTCCAGCCAGGTCACTTTAAAGTCTCTCCCCTTCAGGGGTAATAAAGGCCAACAAATAGGAGTATGTATCCATCCATCTGGTCTTCAGCCCTCAACTCTAGGCCCACAGTCCCTAGTCCCCTTTGCTCAAGGCTCTCAGGGTATGTCTACACTACGAAATTAGGTCGAATTTATAGAAGCCGGTTTTATAGAAATCGGTTGTATACAGCCGATTGTGTGTGTCCCCACATAAAATGCTCTAAGTGCTCTAGTCGGCGGACCGCGTCCACAGTACCGAGACTAGCATCGACTTCCGGAGCATTGCACTATGGGTAGCTATCCCACAGTTCCCGCAGTCTCCGTCGCCCATTGGAATTCTGGGTTGAGATCCCAATGCCTGAATTATGCAAAACAGTGTTGCGGGGGGTTCTGGGTACATGTCGTCAGGCCCCTCCCCCTCCGTCAGAGTACCGGCAGACAATAGATTCGCGCCTTTTTACCTGGGTTACCTGTGCAGACAACATACCACGGCAAGCATGGAGCCCACTCAGATCCGCTCACCGTCACCATATGTCATCTGGGTGCCGGCAGACGTGGTACTGCATTGCTACACAGCAGCAGCAGCAGCTAACTGCCTTTTGGTGGTAGATCGTGCAGCATGATTGGTAGCTGTGGGGCTAGCAGCTGTAGGGCTGCATTGCACCAGCCCCTTGCCTTTTGGTAGAAGATGGTATATTATGACTGGTAACTGTCATTGTTGTATTGCAGTGGCTGTCAATCATGGGCACCTGGGCAGATATGCTACTGTCTCGATGATGATGGCTATGAGTCGTAGTATGCTATTTTCTGCCAGTTGCCCAGTATTGTCTGCTAAGCACCCAGAAGAGGCTGTGGGCGATCTAGGTGCTGGCAGACGTGGGGCTGCATTGCTACACAGCAGCAACCCCTTGCCTTTTGGTAGAAGATAGCATATTACGATTGATATCCATCGTCATTGTACTGCAGTGGCTATCAGTCATGCTGCACTGTCGGCTGCCAGCTTAAGATGTAAAAAATAGATTTGTTCTGTATTCATTTGCTTTCCCCTCCCTCTGTGAAATCAACAGCCTGCTAAACCCAGGGTTTTCAGTTTAATCTTTGGGGGGACCATTCTGTATGACAGTTGTTTGTGTTTCTCCCTGATGCACAGCCACCTTTTTTGATTTTAATTCCCTGTACCTGTACGCCATGTCGTCACTCGGCCCTCCCTCCCTCCCTCCTTCCACTGGTCCGTCAGATACTAGTTTCGCGCCTTTTTTCAGACCAGGCTGTGACGGGTTGGATCACAGAAACCCCCTTGGGAGCTGCCACCAGATGTGCAAAGACTACCCCTGCTTCTGTTTTCCCTGCCAGCTCAGGACTCCAGCACCCTGTCTTGCTGAGCCAGACACTCCCGTCTGGCTCCAGACACAGACCCAGGGTCTGAATCACTTGTCCCAAAGCTGCAAGTTTACCTGAAAACAGCTCGCAGTAGTGCGCTTGTCTTTAGCACTCAGATGCCCAACTCCCAATGGGGTCTAAACCCAGATAAATCT